AACCTGAGAGCTCTGGAAGTTAAGGAAATTGCAGATTTTGATAGATTTGGTTCCTTGGTTATAGATACTGCCCAGCATCCCCCAGGCCAGCTGATGGAGGAAGGACTCATAGAGACTTGTAGCAGTTTTGTGGGAGTAGACCTGTGTTCACTTAGACTTCAAGAGTGCTAAGAGGCAAAGGAGGAGTCACTGCAATTAGGGAAAACATAAACAAGCAGTGATTAATCATTACTTTGGTTATTTTTTTGGTTGGGTTTTCAATTGGGATGGCATAGTTGTAATTTGTCCTTTCCTTTCCCTTTTCAAAGTGATTTCAGAAAATTACTTCAATCTTCACACCACCTGAATGAAGTTGACCTATGCAATATTATTGTTATGATTATCCTTATTTAGAAGGATGAGACTTTAGTCTGAGATTAAATGATTTGCCTAAGGCAGTTATTTTTACCAGTTTTGTACCTGAACCTGTCTTCAGACTGCTTGCAGCAGATCTTTCATGTCTTCTTTCAGAGGTGAGGTGTGTATGGCAGAACAGATGCATAACCTTTTTAAAGAGACTTCTCTTTTAAACAGCATTACAACATACCATTGTTTAAATAATGTGGGAAAGGATTTGAGAGAGACAGGAAATTGCTTTTCTCATCTTACTCCCCCTGCAACGTGCAGAAGATTTGATAATAATTAAATGATCCTAATTATGCCTCTTGGTCACTATCCTAGTATTTCCTGGCACAGGTAGAATTATTATCCTTCACTAATATTATAAACAGGCAGAAATTAAGATACTAAAGAAACCACAACACCCCAGTGAACTGAACTGCCTTTTGATTCCTATCTGACATAAACAAAACATTAACTTCATGCCCTTCAAGACTTTTTTTTTTTAAAGCAACTTGAACAACTTTTCTGTGGTCCCTTCATTTGCTTTGGCAATGCATAATTCAGAGTTTCTTTTGCATTTTCCTTATGCTCTTCTGGTTCAAATAAAGTAATTTACAGCTGGGAGATGTGGAGAAGATTGCATTTTATTTTTTTTTTGAGTAGGATGAGGATTTTGCACCAGGGCCATTGTGTTCTAAATGATAAACTTGGCATCACAGACCCCTTGGAATTCAGAAGGGCAGAGCTGGCTGTCAGGAACCTGGATAAATGATGTGGTTGTGGCTGTAGAGCAAGGCATAGAAGAGAAGCAGAAATCCTCTGCTTTGCAGCCTGGTCTTAGCATTTAGACTAAATTGCATCTGGTCATCTTGAAGATACTGTGTTTCTCCTGGATATTTCTTTGAAAAAGGAAGGATAGTGACTCCAGGGCAGCTGGGTGCCCATGGGACTTGTTCCTGATGGGTCCTGTGCTTCTAACCCAGCCCCAGATCCCTCTGCAGCTTTTAGAAAGAGGTCGCTGCAAAACTGAATTTTGCCACCTGAAGACTCCTTGAAGTAGTAAAATTTAAACTTGTCCTACAGTATTGAAAAGTGTTGGGCCAGGCCTGACTGCTGGGTTTGGACAGCTCAGTTTTGGATATTTCTCTTCTGGGCATCAAACCCAGCTTTTATCTGTTTTGAGAAGGGTCGATGCCCAACTATGACAAGATCTCTTAGTGGTGTGTGAAATTCTGACTTCCCTGCTTTTTGCAGCACTTTCTGTAATTGTGTGAATATTTGTCTCTTCTTTCTTTTCTGATTTACCGTGTGACTAAGCACACATGAGCTATGTGTGGCAGCTTCAGCTTTCACTTGTTTCTACTGACACCAAAGATGATTGATGGTAAAACTTTAAACCTCATATGTTATCCACCAACCTGAATAAACAAAGACCAGTGTGGCAGCTTAATATTAAAAGCTATAAAACCTTCCTGGGGGGTTCATGGATTAAATCAACTCACCAAAATGAATTTTCAAAAAAAAAAAAAAGCTTTCTCAGGACTGAAGAAAAAGGAACACAACAGTAAATGAAATAGAGCTATCCTCATCCAGCAGACTAAAGCCCTCCTGAGGGCTGAAGAATTGCAATTTTAAACATCTCTCCAGAGTGCAAGAGGAGACACAGTATTTGTGGATCCTAGGGAGGCAGCTTGAGGCTATAAAAGAACAAAAAAGCCTTTAAGGCAAAAAAAAAAAAAATAAATCCCTGCAGACATGGCTTTCATTGGTCAAAAATAAGTCTTAAAAAATAAAAACCTTCCCCCATTAAAATTAGTATACATTAGCCCACTATATGTTATTTTTCAGTTATAAGAAGTGGTTTAGATTTTTGCCATGCACTATTTTAATCTCTTGGGTCAATAAACCTTGATAGTAACATCAGCCAAAAATATCAGCATGTTGTTTATCAAAATAGGACAGGAAGCAGCTGGGATCTTGTTTTCATCTTATTGTGATGCAATTATTGGTGAGCACAGTTGAAAGCAACATATTTTGTCTTAGCAAGCAAACAAATTGCTTGTTCTATCAAAGTTCTATCAAAAGGAAGAGTTTTCACTGCAAAGAAAGTGAATGTCTTCTCTCTGAAATAGAATAAGGAGCCCCAAGCAATAGTTCAGCTACCAGGGCTTGTTTCTCATTTGCTTTCTCCATTTCCAGCCAACCCAGTGATATATCTCCATGCTGTAGAGCACAGGATGTATTTCTTCCTGCTCTGTGAAGGTGTTTAGAGCACCCTTGCAAGACTAAACTGTTAAAATGAGTGACCTGGTTGAAAGAAGATGGTTGCACAATTAGAACATTATTATTCCACTCGCAGAGTTGGGTTAAAATTTTTGTTGCATCTACTTAGAATGAAACTTTCATGACCTTCCTCTAGGAAAAAAATGGTAATAAGGGGCTCTTGCTGCCTGCCTGGCCCTTGGGGAAGGTGCTGGGAGTCCTAGGTGCTCTGTAGGTATGGCTAGATTGTGGCATGGTGAGTTAGATCAGAGTCCAGGCTCAGCTCTGGACATCTGCAGCACCTCTAAATGTAGAGCTTGAGTGTGAGCCAAGCCCCTGAGATGGAGTTTCCGTGCTGGTTGGCTCACCCCAGCATATGGGCAAAGTGATCATCCAGATCCTCTTCATTGTGAAATAGATCTTTAGTATTCAAAATCCAAGAAATAAAAGCATTTTGCAGTTCTAGCTCCTGTTTCTGCTGCTGTCTCACTGAGCACAAATGTAACATGTTGAATTAACTGAAATATATGTTTCTGCTCTATCAAGGTCCCCACCCAAACGAGCTGTTGGCTCAGAAAATATTTGTCTTGGCAAAGCACCTATGCATAACTTTGTAAGCCTTTATAGAAATAGTGGCATAAATTTATCGAGGTAACTCTCCAAACCATAAATTTTGATCCCTGCCTTATATACAAGCAGAGTTCAAACGAGGTTTCCTGTCTCACCATTTTTTTTTTCATTTAGATTTGCATGGTGGCATCACTTGCAGTTCACAAGGAAAGCCTCTAATTGCTGATTTGCATAGAGAGCTGGAGATTTCTTCTGCCTGTCAGGATGACTCATAGACAGAATTTTCCTAAAGTTTCATCAGATTGTTTTACTCCTTTTGTATTGATAATTGTGTTATGCATAATGCACCTTTTGGCAAGAGCTGTTCTTTCCGTGAGGTGGTAATTGGCACATCTCGTGCTGAACTTTGTGTTTGGTTCTCACGTGTGCACGTGTGTGCTCCTTGCAGGCTGGGAGCTGGAGGTTGGAACTCCTGGCTTCTTCAGATCTAGGACTGAGGTTTTGATTTGTGGTTGCAATGGTAGATTTGAGTAATTTGGTAACTAAAACAAAATTAGCACAAGATGACGTGGGCGTGTAAATCATCAGAAAAAAGATTCAATTTGGAAGTTGAAAGATATTTTATAAGTTAATCTGATATTGAATCCCTTTTATCCTTTATTTACATATTCAGCTGCTAATCCAGACAAACACCTAAGTACTTGCTTAATTTGAATTAAGCAGTTAATCCTATTGGAAGTTAAGTACAGATGTGAGGCCCTGATTCAGCCAAGTAATAAAATGTGTGAGCAGTCCTGTGCAACTCAAGGGACAGAGCTGAACCAGAGCCTCCAAACTTTTCTCTGGGTCAAGACACAGCAAATCCATGGTTTGGATAAGGTTATGGACTAAAATCTCCTTCAGGTGTAATTGTTTTGGTGTGAACATCTGAACTTAAAGATGTCTAAGATGCTCAAACTTCTTTGTTGAAAGTCCCATAGCCTCAGTGAAGTTGAAGACAAAGTATGTTGAAAAACAATGAAAAAAAGCACCTTCAGCCAAGTAATAAAATGTGTGAGCAGTCCTGTGCAACTCAAGGGACAGAGCTGAACCAGAGCCTCCAAACTTTTCTCTGGGTCAAGACACAGCAAATCCATGGTTTGGATAAGGTTATGGACTAAAATGTCCTTCAGGTGTAATTGTTTTGGAGTGAACATCTGAACTTAAAGATGTCTAATATGATCAAACTTCCTTGTTGAAAGTCCCATAGCCTCAATGAAGTTGAAGACACAAAGTACAATGAAAAACAGTTGCATGATGGATTAAAAAAAAAAAAAAATCCTTAAAAGCACCTAGAAGCTGAGAAATTCTGTAAAAAAAGTCCTTAAGGGAGTAAGGGAAAAATATCACCCTACTGACCTGGTTCAGATCCCAGCAAAGACATAAGAGGAAACTTCTGGCTATCAGTTTGCAAAGCCTTTGTCCTTATAAATGCTCTGCTGAGAGAGATCTGGGAATGATTGTTACTTCTGCCCACCACATCCCAACAAATACCTTAATGTTTCCTTTTCATTATGTTTTTCCTCCTTTCTATATATTCTTTATTCTTTTGTTTTATTTTTCCTTTTTTTACCTCTTTTGCTCTTTGCAGGTCTTTGCTGATCTTTCTTCTGTTTTTTTCCCTTTCCCTTGATATCACAGTTCTGTGTTTACTTGGACTCCAATCTGGGTAAAAGAGGAAAAAAAAGTTACTCTGCAGCTTCCAAGAGTAGCCACCTACTCAGAAATTTCTTTTTGTTCTATTACAGATAACCCTTATACGACAAGAATATGAAACCACACTCAAAGGTCTGATGCCAGCATCTTTGAGACAGGAACTTGAAGACACCATTACATCTTTAAAATCTCAGGTAAATTCTTGTTATTCATCTTCAACTTTTTGGACTGGGTAAAAAACATCTCTTTGAGACATGGATTTGTGACTGTCTAAAATTTGGCCAAAAATACAGAAGTCTCAAAACCAAATTATGGCAGCACTCAAATGCTTCTCACTCAGTCATCTCTCACAAGGCTTTTCTCCTTGAGCTTCTTCACCTCGAGAGCTACCATATGGTATCTTTTGATCCCAGATTTTGCTTCAGTTGGCAGTTGAAAGTAGAAATTACACTGTATTCAGTATAAGGGTTTTTTTTCTCAGCCTTTCAAATAGAGCACACAGTTATCTCTCATCTTCCTTACCCTGTTTCTCCTGAAGGAATCATTGAAAGGTTGCATGTAAAGGGAACAGAAGAGAATTAGGAATCATTTTGCTTTCTTTCCAGCCTATATAATAAAGCAAATGGGATATTTCTTTTAAGATATTAGTCCAAATTATCATTGTATCATTTTTCTGTTTTCCTATATGAAGAGGCTCCACAAGACTCATGTAATGCTTTGTCTTTAATATTGCACAACACTGGCTCACCTAGAATAACACAGAATCATTATTATTTATATAAAATAGACTATTAAATTGGCTAATAGAAATATCAAAACGTCATTATAAATAAGGGACTATTGATGCTTTCCTACTCACTGTATTAGGAGCTAGAAGGAAACAGAATGTCATCATTGCCTGAACTCACATGAGGAAGGATAAATAGCAATAAAGAGGGGTGGTGAGCCAAAGAAAACACTGTCAGTTTTCACATACAGCCCAGTGCTGGACTGTGCAGCTAAACGTGCTGGGAATAACTGGGATCTGTCCTGGGCTGAAGGGAAGAGAGAAGGACAGGGCAGTGCTGGTGGCTCAGAGCTGCCCCATGAGCTCTGGGAAGAGCCAAGCCCTGAGGATTCAGTGGACAAGTTTGGGCATGACACCAGCACACACCTTACAGCAATTTTCACACCATTTTTCAAGCAATTCTAGATCTACAAACTCTGTGGAAAAGGTTCGTCATGGAATGTATTTGTTTTGTTTTTCTTGTTTTTCCTCTCTTTCCAATGTGTAAGGGTTATTCTGTAGCATTTTTTGCTATTTATGGGACTGGCATGACTTTAATAGAAGTGGGAATTTTCATAGGGGAAACTTTCAGATTCCTGTGTGCTAGTAGTGACACAACTTTTACAACCAACAGTATGGTGGTAAACATTCTGCTTACATATCAAGGGACACCTAATGGAAGTGGTGCTCTTTCTGATTTAAACAGTTGTGGGGAATAAAGAGTTACTGGGGAAATCTATTTCCAGTTGATAGCAAAAAGCTATTTTTAAAGTGTGGTTGACTATTAGCACTGTCTGGTGGGCAGTGCCACTCTGGAGCTAATATAAGACTACCACACCTTGTAATGAGTTAAAAAAAAAAAGCAGAATCTGATATCCACCTGCAGGGCTTCTGTAAGCAGCAGCAGCAGCATTTCAAAAGAGTAGAAGCCAGAGCACACATTAAAACCTGGGTGCTCTCAGAAATCCATAGCTGCTGGCTGCATTTCCAGCAGCACGCCGTCGCAGACCACGGGGTAGGCTGGGCTCCTTCTGAAGCACAGGTGTCCCTGGCTCTGAAATGGTTGAAATTCCTGTTTGAAAACATCAGACAAGAAGGGCAGTGGAATCTCTGCACCTGTCAGGATTATTTATTGTTGGAGGAGGATGAAGAGGATAGGCTGGGTAAAAGCACCGAGCGGTGATAAAAATAAACCATAAAAAGAAGAAAATACTTGAGGCTTGGGCAAAGTTTTCTAAAAACGTTGCTAAATATAAAGGACGCTGCCCAATTGTCTGCTCTGGGTGAGTCATCCAAAAATGGCCACAGTGTATTAATAAACATTAATTTTCTTGAAGAGCTTGTGAGAAAAAACCTTGAGGAGCAGGTGAGTAGAATCATAGAGTCACTATGGTTGGCAAGGACCTCTAGGATCATCAGGTCCAACCTTCCAACATTTCCCTAACCGCTAGACCACAGCCTCAAGTGCTGCATCTGCTCGTTCTTTGAACCCCTCCAGGGATGATGAGTTCCTTCATCACACGAGCAAAAGCACAGGGATCAGAGTGCAGGCATTGGATGGGAGTTGAGAGTAGAACCAGAGCTCCCAAACCCTTCCATAACCCAGATGGCACCACCAGCTGAGTTTAAAAACTGGTTTGACTTTGTTCCTAGAGGAGTAGGTACTGTGCAACTGGAGCGGGGCCAGGGAAGCCATGCTGACAATCAGCTATCAAGTCTGAATTCTAGTATGCAGCTAAAGCATTATTGCATTTTATTTAGGCAGGATAGACCAGAAAAACACCTCTTATGAAATGAGAATTCAAATTCAATAATTCAACAAATTCATTCATGAGAATTTTCTGCATCATTTTCACGGTTGATGTATTTTGCAGGTAAATATTCTGCAGAAAAGGCTCTCCCTCATGGAGGAGGTGAATGCCCACCACGCCAAGAGGTACGTCAGTGTCTTTGATCCACTTGTACCATTTCACACCTGTGGATCCCAGTTACTGAAGTTTTTACGGCTTAATTAAAACACTCAAATCTGGTTGCAGTTTTAAAAGGTCCCTATTTTCAGTTTTCAGTAAACAGGCATCTGAGAATTTTCCCAGTGCTTAGTCAGTACTATTAGAGGAAGATTAGAGAACTTGCAGGTGCATTGCAAGTCTGGGCTTTGCCTGGCTGTTCATGATGAGACAGTGGCTCGGTGCACAGCTGCAGCTCTGCGGTGATGCCACCTCCTTTTAAGATAGAAAACAATGATGCAACGCGTAATATTACAGATCACATCTTCAAAGTACCGGATCTTCATGAGCCTGAGCTTTTTTTCAGGCGTTTACACCCTCCCATATAAATTCTGGCAAGTGCTGCAGCCATAAAAAGCCTTGCTGTGCCTTTACAGTAAGTGATTCACATGGAGAGGTGAGTAAAAGGGAACTTCCTAGGAAAGCCACTCCATCTTTTTTTATATTTATAGACTTTGATGATACTTTATCTCACATAAGGGTTTCTGCAAATAAGAATGTTTGTAGAAATAGTGTAATAATTTGTAAGATGTTTAAACATCTTTAAGAGTTTTATCAGTGTGAAGGTTGTCTGGAAAGATTAATCCTGAACTATTTGTTAGTGAGAATTAACTAAAGCTAATTGGAAACTGAAAATGTCATAGATTCTTGGTAGTATGTCCAGTGTAGGTGACTTTGTTGGACAAATACAAATCTGTGACACAGTCTCTAGACTCTCTCCAGGAGCAGCAGTAGCATTACCAAGAGATGCATTTCATCTCAAGCTTATTCTGAATCAGTCTTCACAGTTAGGAAGATGTTTAAAAAGCTGAATAGTCACATACCATTAGATCAGGCCAGGCCACAAATGGCCGAAGCACTGGAGGTGGAAGGAGCTCCTGGCTCAGAGAAACCTGTCCTGCTTCTATTCAGGGAGGTTTTCCTGAGCAGATCTTTTTTTCCAAGATGCTGTATTTTGTCTTAGCATTGGCCTGGCCCTCATTCACTGCAATACCACTTTTTGGTGCTTTAAGACACGGGCGTGCCAGCAGCTGCAGGTGGGATGTCACTCCCCTGCAGCGGGCACAGACATATCCACAACCAGCCCCAGCCCTGCCTTCAGCCTGGGGTGGCTTTGGAGTAAGAATAATGAGATGTAACTAATGAGAATCTCTTCATTTTCAGGTAGCTGCTGGAGCTGTTGGATTTCTTCGGTTGCCAAACGGACTGCTTTGAATAGGTTTGAAGATTTGGCTCTTGTAAATGAAAATGCAAAGATCAGTGGCTGTTTTGTTAGCACATAAAATGTACTGGTGTTCATGAAAGCACATCCATCACTCATGTCAGCCTGTTTTTCATTGTATCTTCCTTCCATTTTTTTTTTTAATCATTATCTTATTACAGACTTATGCTTTCAGTATACTGTGTGTTTGACTCTGTGCTGAGCCTGCTCACCAAGCTGGTAGAGTTTCCTCTACTAATATTTTTGTTTTTACTTCCCAGTACCATTCTTTTCAATTTTATACATGAAGAAAACCCCCATTTTCTATTATTATTGTCCAAGATATTTTAACATATTTTGACATTGTTTTGTGTCCATATGTTTACATAATATTAAAATATTATTTTGTACTATTTTGTTTTGACATTATTGTCCTGCTTGGGCATCTCACTCACCTAAGTAGTCACAGTGCATATGAGAGGTTTGTGTGGCTTTGTTAACTGGGGAAATATTTTCATGCTGTGTTTCAAGGAAGAAATCTCAGAATGAGAATGAAAACACCAGGATGAGAAATCACAGCCACTGTTGCCAGTTGTATCTGTCGCTGGGGTTGTGTACACTGGTTGCAGGGAAGTCCTTCACCATTTACTGATCACAGTTATGGGGTGTTACTGAAGATGAGTCGTAATCAACAGGGCCTTGATTCCTCGTGGGTGTGTGTGGGCTCTGTTGGATGGTCCTGGCAGGTCCAAGCAGATTGCTGAGAGTTTGCAGGGGTGGGTTTTGAGCAGCAGTGGAAAGCTGAAGGACCTGGACATGGAGTCATCCTCGAGGCTGGCTCTGCCTCGCAGGCATAGGAAGGTTTCCTTACCTCTTGGCCATCCAGGAGCCAGCGTGTGCATTAGGAGGTCAGCAGTCTCTAAATTCAGATAAGCCAAATACAAGAATAGCTTTTTTTTTTTACCTCAGCACCATCCTGCAGGCAGCATCGATATCACGGCATAGTTAATGGGGGGAGTGCTTGAGAGGGAGCCAGAAATTCCTGTCTTCTACATCCAGCCATGGCACTGGCAGCAGCAGGGAGCCCCTCGGGGGGACAGCCACCTCCACCTCCCCTCCCTCGCCCAGGTGGCACCAGTGCCCAGCACTGGGGCAGTGTCCTGATGCTCCTGAGTGCCCGAGTGCGCCAGGCCCAGCTCCCCAGCTGCACTCTTATCTCCTCCTGGCACCCAGATCAGTGCAGAGAGGCTTTGGCAGGCTGGGCTCCATCCACCCCCACCTCCTGGCAGCCCTGGCACCCCGCTCCGTGCCAAACGCAGGCTCCAGCTCTGCTGGGTGCTCCGCTGATCCTCAGCCTGATCTGGGCCTGGGCAGGTCTTCCGCCTTCCTTGAATCAACAAGTGATTCTTCTAATTATAGATAAGGGGTTGTCGTGGCTCTGATAAGGGAGGAGGTGCCTGGAAGCCTGGCCTGGGGCGGCGGTGAGCTGTAGTGGGAGGAATTTGTTAGGATGCATTTAGTTAATTGCGGGCAGTAAAAGGACATGTATTTACTCAGAGGTGCAGGGCAGTGAAGTGTGGGCTCCTCAGGTGCACCCAGAGCTCACCCAGCTGCAGGCTGGGCACACGGGGAGTCACCTGCTGGATGTGGCCCTGGGTCCAAGTGCCAGAAGCTGGGACAGTGGAATCTCTCTTCTCTTGCGGGTTTGGCTTTGCTGTTCTGCACGTCCCTGTGTGGCACCTGGGAGGTTGTAGTGCTTTCCAACGTGGTAAGAGGGGGGGAAAAGAAACACATGAAGCCTCTTCTAGCTAGGTTAATCCAAGCCTGAATTTCCTTTTTTTATTTTTTAATGGAATTGAGCTGCTGATGTCACTGATGATCAAAAAAAACTGTTTGTGGGTTGTAGTGCTTTCCAACGTGGTAAGAGGGGGGGAAAAGAAACACATGAAGCCTCTTCTAGCTAGATTAATCCAGGCCTGAATTTCCTTTTTTTATTTTATAATGGAATTGAGCTGCTGATGTCGCTGATGATCAAAAAAAACCTGTTTGTGAAAAGTAGATCTTGGTCAATCAGGGAGTTTTAAAACTGTGGGAAACACAGTAATAGGTAAAAATTAAAAATGTAATTTTACTGCCTTTGCTCTGTGAGAGAAGATTGTTGCAGTCTGTGCAAAACCCCACAAGGAAAAGGCATCATGCCATTTTTCACCAGTATCAAGGGAGGTGACCCCAGCCAAGGGGACACTTTATTTCAGTGCCACTCACAATTCTTGTGTTACACGTAACAAATATGCTCATTTCTGGAGCAGCTGGAAGAAAAGGGAGCTGGGCTTTCTCCTCCCAGTCCTCTGCTTGCTTCTGCAACAGTGCTTTAATTGTCCTGGTGACAGCAGATACTCCTGCTACTTGCCCAAATCTCTGATGACTGTGATTTCAAACCGAGAAATTATTTTGCTCCACAGAAAAATACTTTATTGTAACTAGAAGAAAATATTTGGAATCACTAGAATATCTTACAGTGTTTTGTTGAGTTTTCATGCACAGCTTTGATGCTAACTACAAGCAGTCCTGATAGAGAGTGTATATGGGATCTGATTTATTTATTTAAATCATTTTAATGCACTGCCAGTCCTTCCCAAATCACAAAATGTACTGGAGGCACCACACTACTAGATTACACTTGGTCTCGTTCTGAGGGTACAAAGGAAAAGTAGAACGTCAGATATTGTATGAAAAAGTTTCAGAACACAAGGTCATTTTAATTCAGACTGGTTTTTTTCAAGGAACTCTCTTTCTAAGCTTTGATATTTTGTTCAGAAAGGTCATTTCTTTTAAGCCTTTGTCATTAAAGACGACTTGTTCTTTAAAGTATGCTATCAAAGAGTGCAGAAATTGCAAGTTACTGAAACTAAAATGCATGATCAATTTTAAGTCTGCCAGCTAAAGCCCACTTAAAATTAAATGTGCTCTGGTACTGCTGGCTTCTTTGATAAAGCCAGTGGGAGATAGGCAGTTGGTCATTTCAACCCCCCCCCAAAATGAAGATAATTAAATAAAACTTTTCCTCCCAAAATTAGAAATCATCTTTTGTGAAAAAAGCACTGAAAGAACCGAGTAAGGTTCTGATCCTGCCAAAGTGTGTCTGAGGTGAGAGCAAGAGAGTGAGCGTGCTGCATTCAGGAGCAGGTTGGAACTTTTGCAGGACAAAAGTTGCAAGACAAAAATTGTGCAGCTCTTTCATGTTATCTGATGTTTGTATCAATGGCAATAAGACAGGCCCCTGGAGAAAATATCTTTTTTTTTTTGCCATTTGCTACTACAAGATGATTTCTCCTTTGCTGACAGACGAAGATGGTAATAGAGAGGAGGGGAGACCTTGGGTCGTGCCCTTGCTCTGCAGTCCCTGATCCTCATCCCTGCTGATCCAGCCTTTATCCCACGAGCGTGGCCGCTGGCTAAGTGCTGTGCTTGCTTTGAGGTGTCCTTGGGAGAAGAGACCTTTTCCTTCCTCATTGTTCTCCTAAAGCTGCTGTTAGCAACGGTAATCTTTCGTTTTCATTTTAGCCCAGATATGTCCAATATTCAAGGTAGTATTTTTGGAAGAGCCTTGGGAGGCTGGGCACTCAGCTTGCGCTCACGTGAGGAGTATTTAGAGCTGCGACCTCCTTAGAGCAGCTCTCTAAAGCAATTTCATCTGCAGAGCTGGGGCCCAACAGCCTGTTTAGCTTC